GTGGACAGACAATGAGGGGCCAACCCTCTCGGCTGGCACCCAGTGTGCATAGCACAGGAAAGGGGTCCTCTCGCCCAGTCCAATGGATACACCCACACATCTCTGTTTTTAAAAATTAAATGCTCTGTTTTTAAAAATTAAATGCTTTTACAAAGCATTTTGCAAATGCTTTGCAAAAAGCAAAAATTAAATGCTTTTAAAAAATATTTACTAATATAATTTAATTTACAATTAAATTATATTACTAAAAATCTTTATTTTCATGTATGACTTATCTTCAACCAGCTGTGACTCCCCACGTTTGACCACCTGTAGCCTTCTGGCCAGGTACCTACTGAATTGTAAATTAGTGTTGCAAACCTGCAGAAAGAACCACTGAGGAAGTGTTTAAAAGATAAAGAATTATTTCTTATAAGAAAGCATCCTGAAGGTGAGCTGCTATGAAATCCTCAGTCAACAGAATTGGGAAAAGACACAAACACAGCTCGTACAAAAAACAAAAAACGTGTTCGCCAAAGTGAGTTTCCAGTGCAGCAGTGACAGTATTTACTCAGTATGCTCCCAAGGACTGGGATTACCTGCCCCTTTGATGAGATCCCATCTTTTATTGCTTGGATTTCCTTAAACAGCACGTCTCTAAGTTGCAGAGTGACCTCTCAGAAAAGCCACTCTAAAGAGACGATCCCAGTGGCTGGGGGCAATTTCCAACCCAAACACGTCCAAAAGGGATCGATCCCTTCCAGCACTGGTGGCTCAAGTTTCAGCCTATCCCGGCTGTGTCAGCCCTGGACGAGGAAGCCTGGTGTCATCCTAGGGGAGACCCGCTGCCTGAGCCCACTGACGTGGGCTCGGCCGGCCGTGTGACTTGCTCTGACCCACGGAACGTGGGCAGGAGAGAGGCGCTGAGGCTTGCAGGGGTCCTGAGTGTCTCCGCCACCCCGGTCTCCCGCCATCACCCTCCAGAAGAGCACCGCCCAGGCAGCCGTGGCTCCTCCCGAGTGACTCCGGTCACCCCACGGCCTCGTGGGTGAGAAATAAAGATGTGCACGTGGGCCGTTGTCGGAGTAAAGATCAACGACCACACCCGAAAGGGCTGCGGGATTACTGGCATCTTCTGGCACCACTCGGTTCCGGATCAAAATGGCCAGGTCCGTTCTCCAAAACAGGGTGCGGAACCACGCCGGTCCTCGCTTCTGGATGTCCCTGCCCAGCACCGGCCCACAGCTGTCTGACAGCTTGGTGTCTCCTGAGCCTGGACACACACCCATCATCCTGGCGTACTAGTTCCTGAACCTCCTCCACTAACGGCAAAGCACCCCGAAGACAGACCTGTATCTGGCCCACCCGGGGGCACCTAAAATAGCACATTGCACCTATCAGCCACTCGACGATGACTCCCTATTCCGGTTCACAGGTACGAGCGCTTTTCTTTATGGTCTGTGCCCCCCAAAATGGCCTGAGTCACAGGCCTGTTCATACAGCTGAACTGACAGCAGTGACGCGATGTGACCTTTCTACCTGAATACGCAGGTGAGCTCAAGTGCTTTGCAACGAATGATACTCAGGATCGCTCGCCTACACCAGAGTGAACCCTTCCTCGGGGCCCGCCACTCCCACAGCGCCTACAGAAATGGAGAACCGACGGGGCTGGCCCATCTCCGGCTGCCCACACACACGTGCCGCACACGCGTGTCACCAGCCCGGGTGCAAGCCCCAGGGAGGGCCCGCCAGGGGCCTGTCCACCCCTCACCAGAGCACTTTCCTGTCCTGAGCCTCTTCCGCACTGGCCCCCGGGGTCGGTCTCTCCCGCTTGCTGCCCCAGCTGCCTCATTTTCTCCGTCGCCCCCCATCACCCAACTCCGCTCTTTTCTTTTCCTCCTCCTCTCCACATCAGCTGTTCTTCTTGCCTCTGGCTTCTCTGCCTTCCGTTCGCACTTTCAAGCCGTGGTGAAGGGGACATCAGCAGACACGCGGAGCACGCCCTCCCCGCACGCCAGACCTACCACCTGCCACACGCCAGAGAGGAACGCCAGGCCTCCGGGTCGAACAGAAGCAGGTGTGCTCCCCGTGGGATGCTCGGGGACCTCCAGAGACCTCCGCACGCCCTGCTGGCGACTCCAGTCTTTGCATCATTAGGTAAATGTGAAGACAGGGCTGTGCTCCAACACTTGCCCGAAATTCTGCCGGACCCCACGGGCTAAACTCATCCCTTCACCGGAGCCGTGCGGTAGGCAAGCTGTCCTCAAACATGCTGACTCCCATAGTAACCGTATCTCATGCCCGCAATCTCTGCTCCTGTTTTGAGAAAGACTTAGTGGCAGCTAATGCAACTGTAAATAAATGTTCTGTTATACCTAGAAGCAGTCTAAAATTCCTAAAGTGCAGTCACATCTGTCCTTTCTTCCCAGCGTATCCTTTCCCCTTTTATTCTGAAAGTGGCCCCACCCCCTTCTGCCGAGAACTGTCACCCCTAGGTCACCCCGAACACCCGTGGAACAGTGGGGTGCAAGTGTGAGCTGTCACTCTCTCGCCCAGCCCGGCCACAGGCGGGAGCGCGCGCCTGCCCACAGCTGGCCGAACCGAGCTCTGTGTGCACGGGCTGGGGCGTGGGTCCCGGGCTGACTCCGTCCCAGTCCTTCCCCGAGACTCTTCCCAGCGAGGCGAGGAGGAGAGGGGAGCTGTCCCTCGGGCGGTGACGACATCGGCCGCGCTGAGGCTGGCGAGCTGCCAGCAGCCGTGCGCCCTCCGGGGCGAGGAAAGCTGGTCTGCGACAACAAAGCCAAGATGCAGACGGTGCAAACGGAGAAGCTGGGCCCCCTGGCAGCACCCACGGCCCGGTCCTCCCGTCCTCGGTGGCGCGCCCCCTGCCTTCCTCGTGGGTGTGCACAGCCTGCCCGCGAACTCCCCTGTGCACCTGCGTCAGCGCAAGCTGCTCCTCCGTACCCCGCAGCCAGGAAGACTCCCCATAACAGCACACACACGGCAAGGTAACAAATCTGAACTCCTGGGAGCAAGGTCTGGGAGTACGGTGGGAAACTCCAATGTCTCTGCCACAGACTTAGCATTAATCCACTAACTGATGTTTGGGGACGACACTACTTAACACTTTCTCTATAAGACGATTGATTTCTTATCTTGTTTAGTGAGTATAGTAAGGTTCCTCTTAACAGCAGTTATGAATATAGGTGTTCAGGGGGTAGAGGGCTGGGATTCTCTGATTGCCATAGGGCTCTCTGGAATATCAGACCCAAGGTCAGGAGGTGTCGTGTTCTGGAAAAATCCATCTCGGGAGAGTGATGGTTGTGCAGCAAAGCAACACTAATGAAACTGGAGGAAACATTATTAATGCAATCATTTGTTAGCAAGGGTCACATACCGACGGGTGGACTCACAGGGACCCAAGGGACCAAAACTGGACTTGGGCTGGGGGGAGGGGGGGTGGACAAGGCAGTTTTAGTCTCATACAAAGGTTTTGTTTCAAAATCTCGACCAAGGAAGTCTAGCCCTCCTTAAGGATTGTGTCTGAGATGAGGTTGCCAGGCATCCAAATCCAAAGAGACAGGAAATGTAAAATCCAATCTGGGCTGAATGCATTCACCTGCGTCTGGGAATGAAGCCGCAGGCCCATGAGTCCCTCTCCCTCTGTGACCCCGCAGTGAAAGGGCTTTGCTCTCAAAGCAAGTGACCGGTCTGCCTGGCGCTGCTGACCACCACGGAGGGAGCCGGAGAGACGAGGGTTGGGCTCGGAGTCCCCTGCCCAGGAGAGGGCCCCTCGCGCCAGCCGGTGACAGATGCAGGGTCAGCGCTCAGACAGCCCCCCTGGAGATCCTCAGCTGCACCCCCCAAGCACCCCTCTCTGGGCCGCATGGAGTGCCCACGCGCAGGAACGGAGCTGATCCTCGGTACAGTGAATATGGCGAAAAGCAAATGCACTTGAACTGCTCAAGGCTGCTGTCTGGGCCCCTAACGAGTTGTAACTCACACACACACACACACACACACACACACTCTCACACACACACACACAAAGCTGGTTATTCTCTGTATGACCACAAGCTCTTAGAAGCTGGTATAGTCATTTTACTTATTTCCTTTACACACCTATTTAGCATCATACATGAACTTAAAACACACCAATAATGGAAGAAAACAAACCATATCACAAAATGCAAATTCTTCCTAATTGCATAAACTTACTTAAACAGCTAGGCTTTAGACATCGACTTTAGAAAAATAATGTTTTCTCTAAGTTATTCCAGAAGACCATTTGCATAGAACTTTTGGAAATCTCCTCTCCAGAGCCCTTCATTTAAACTTTTCAGTCAGCAACATGCTTACAGAGCACACTAGACCATCTGGGACCAGTCTCTGGACTTTTCTACCCACTGGATACATATTTGGCCCAAACCCACCCTATATCTGCCCTAATGATTTAGTCTTTAAAATATATTTATGTGCCCTGGCTGGCGTAGCTCAGTGGATTGAGCTCAGGCTGCAAACCAGGCACCACAGGTTCGATTCCCAGTGAGGGCACATGCCTGGGTTGCAGGCCATGGCCCCCAGCAACCGCACATTGATGTTTCTTTCTCCCTCTCTTTCTCCCTCCCTTCCCTCTCTAAAAATAAATAAATAAAATCTTTTTAAAAAATATACATTTATGTATGGAATCAAATGGTATTAATTAAAATATCTTAAAATCCCACGCCATGTCCACGGCCTGTGATATCATTTAGTAAAATGTCTTCAAATCTCCATTTATAATTCCCTTGAAAACACTAAAGAGACAGAGAATAATCTGGTCATTATTTTTATCTGCCTCCCCTCTGCTTAGACTATACTGGAAGGCTTTATAAAGAAAGTTCTTAAAGTTCAATTTCAGTTCAAGATCTTTTTAAAACCTTTCCGCTCCCAGCCCAGAGCTGATGTCGACAAAGCCCGTCTCTAGCGCTTGGGACACGATGGAGCGTGTGCAGCAAGAATGAAGTCGTGGGAACTGTCACCTGCATCGACGCTCCCTCCACTCTTGCCACGCAGGCCACCCGGTCGAGGAAGGTCACTGCCACAGGCACCGCCACGAAGAAGCCTTTACAAAAGGCCTTGACGTATCTTTTCACCCAGCCTTGAGACTGCGCCATACCTGCAAACACAAAGAAGACAAGTGTGGGATGGAGTCTTAAAACAAACATCAAACATGGGGGGAAATAAAGATGCAAAAAGCAGCACAAGAAAAACTGAGTTAAGGAAGAGCGACTTCATCTCAATATATTTCACCCTCGTCCCTGTAACCTTTGGAATAAATCAGATTTAAAATCCCAAAGGCAAATGCATTCACTCTGTGTAACTCTTTTTGGTAGCTCTAGTCCACTGAATAACTTCAGGGGAAAATCTTCCTTTATGAAGCAATAAGGCAGAAAAATAGTAAGAATTATAATGGATGTGCTCCTCATACCCTCAGACCTGTTTCCTTCCACAGTAACAGAATTTTCAACAAGATACTTCAATGGCTGCCCAGCCTCCCTTGCAGCTAAGCGTGGCCACGTGACTAGGTGTGACGAATGAGGGATGAGCAGCAATGACATACTCCCCCACTGTGCCCTTAAAAGGAGTATGTCCTCCCTTTTCTGTGGCTCATTTTCTGATACCTGTGACGATGAGGTGGTGACAGGAGTAGGGGTAGCCCTTTAAAGCTAACGATGGCAGATGGACAGAAGGGTCCCAGGTCTCCACCACATCGGAGGCAGTTAAATGAGATACAAATCACTCTCCGTCATTTAAAAATCTAAACACTACTTCCCATTTTCTATATAAATTTACATACACATATAAAAGTACCTAACACATAATATCATTTTATTATTGTTTTAATCATTTAACAAACACCTATATATCAGTTGTATAGTTAAAGTATAAAGAAAGACTGAAAAAAACAGTCTTATCAAAATGCTAAGAATGAGCAATGGCAGATGTTGGGAATGCAGAGGATGACCCTTTTCTTCTTTGAACTTCTGTTGGCTTCTGACCTTTAAAAAAGAAGGACTGCCCTAAGAAGTCCCGTTAGTAGACGGAGCTGACTGTGGGGCAGCCCCAGTCCGGGTCCCTCTCCCATCACAACAAACAAGCCACAGGTCCTCGGGCCGGGCTCCCTGCTGTGCGCTGCACAGCACACGCCTGCGTGAGGTCTTCCCGTCCCTGCAGCAACCGACATGCAGCCCTGAGTGAGTGCACCTGCCGTGTGTGGCCGACGCAGGCTGTGGCGAACGGTGCCCCGGCGCGCTGCTGACCACATCCTGAGCGTTTGAACTTAGACATCCTTGCTTTTCTACCACCCACAGTAAGCACTGCAGTTCAAACGGGGGATGAAGGGGGGGTGGAATGCTGACAATTCATGTGACAACCCACCTAACTACTTGCCTATTTTAGGTAGTTAGGTAGTTAACAAACTGGCTGTAAACACACCATACTTTAACAATCAGGTCAAATAGGCTTAAGCACCTGGAGGAATTAGACTCAAAAAATTAAATGGATGGGACAAATGCAAACTGGAAAAAATGCTTCCATACACCTGTGGTTCTTAGAATAGAGGCGCCAATGGGTGACAGGATGAAAAGATCGGGTGTGCTCTTTGCTGTCCCGTGTGCCCTGCATGCGTGGACCTCCGCTAAGGAACCAGGGACACCTGCAGGACAAACACTAAGAAAGCCTTCAAACAGGACAAGGCCACAGCTACCCGTCAGCGGTAGCATGCGTGACTGCAGTATCAATGGAGGGAAAAAAGAGACATTGACATAAGTCGCATAAATTCAGATTCCAAGAATTTTGAGCCTCCCCTTCTTCCCAATATACACTGTCCCCCATGCTGCTACCCCATCCAGTGGCTGTAACACCCAGGACAGAGCACAGCAATGACAGTCGAGGCCCTGAGGTGGCCTAGACCCAGCTGCATGGCTGATGGGCTCACTTCCGGGCCTCACTTTCCTCGGCTGCAAAAAGAAAAAGGTCCTTCAATGTCTAAGGCCCTTCCTGTGCCCAGCATTCTGTATGTCTACACGTTTTTCAACGGTTCCTCCAGGACTTACACGGACACCAAAATGAAGAAAAGCACTCAGACTAAGACGAGAGACAGAGCTGCCCTTTAGGGTTGAGACTTTAGGTGTCAGGAAAAGACTTTGCCTTTATCAAACAATAACTTAAAAGGGAAACAAAGCTGCTGGACCCAGCCCAGCTCACACACAAGAACACCTGAAGTATCAGGAAAGAGCTGGGAGCCGCCGCCCCTCCAGCTCGCACCTCCGTGTCCGAGGCCGCCACCCCCCACCCCAGAGCCGGGAGGAGAAACACTTCCCCACCCAGACGGCGGCCTCGAAGACGCAGGGCAGGTGCGCCGGCGTGGAGGCGCGCAGGTGCCGCCCCCGACCAGGGGCCAGAGTGAAGCTGCCCGGCAAACAGGCGGTCACCCGGAGGCCTCAGTCCAGCCCTGTCCCACCTGAGCTGCAAAGAACCCCTGTCCCCCATGATAATGAAACACTTTGAAAAGGTTCTAACGACCCCCAAAACACTCAAGAAAACCTGCATAAATGAAGACATGAACACCATACAGGTCAAGGTATAAATACGCATGCCCATTGTGATCATGGTAATGTGTTTCCTTTTCTGTCTGAAGTGCCCAAGAATTATTGGGGGGGCCGGGTCTTTTCTTCACACCTGAAATGTTGAACGCTGCCGTGCTAATAAGCACCTAGCATCTGCCTCCTCTGGGAAAATTTCCATTCAGCAATTATCCTGCAGTACTAACATCGTCCCCGGTGAAAGGGAATCATTTCTATTGGCAACCTCGTTCTTCTAGAGACCACGCAAGTTACTTGAGGTTCAAAACACTGCTCCTGAGAAAATTGCTGCTTAAGCAGGAGGCGCACCCGGTTCATTGTTGAAGTTCCTACACTGAGAATACTCTGAAATTAGCTTTCAGATTTGGCTGGAATCCTGCTTGCCCCTTGGCACATAGAGCACCCCCACATGAAGGCTTCTCGGAGCCCCCGACCTCTGCCACACGCTGACCCACCCTGCAAAGGAAATGCCTGTTTCCTGTCCTGACCGGTTGGGGTTCGATCATGCGCGAGCTCAACCAAAACCACTCATAAACTCGCTTACGTTTTATCCCGTACCAGAGCACAATCACTCATCCAGAGCAGCCGGGCCGATAAGCACTCCTCAAGTCATCTTCATTATTATAAAAACGATTAAAAAATTGTGTGGGAAGTTTGAAGAGGAAAATAATAAATGACAAGGCAATATCTTCTATAACACACAAAGCCTTCCAATCACATAAGCTTGCACGATTGGATAATTAAATCAAGATTTTATTTATTCACTCAAACTATACATCCAACTATGAACACCAGAGGACATAGGAACAGAGAACCTGGCAAATTCCCCCTCTTTCAATCCCATTACCTTTGAGCGGAATATTTCATTACAGGTGCTCGGCTGGGGTGGGGCGGGGGAGGAAAGCAGTTTCGGAGACGCGAGAGGGCTGAGCGGAGGAATAAAGCTGTCGGTGGGGAGCCAGGTGCTGTCCGGGGGCCGGGGAGCTGCAAACATGCTGGGGGACCTCCAGGAGGATCTGGGGGCCCAAGGGCAAAGACCCCGCCTCAGCGGTGACCGTTTCTGTACCCAGCATGGGGCCCTTCAGAGAAGGCTCGGGCCAGGGCCGGGCCCCAGGAGGCACGTGTAAGAGGAGCCCGGGACATCCTGTTACACAAGCAGAAGACGGGCTCAGAAAGCGATGAGCACGCATTGGAGGGGCCTGCCGGAAGGGGTTCCCACTGGCCAAACAAGGGGAGGTCTGACCACACGAACAATTAAAGTCAGTGATGATCATCAACCCCTGGAAAACACCTTCGGATATGCTTAGTTTCTGAAATTAAAAAACGTGAAAGAACTGGGGTAGTTAGCTTCCAAAGGTAAATTGGGCAGTGTTCATTTCAATTTAGTGTGATACCATAAAAATACTTTATGAATTGATGTTTAATAAAAGGCAAAATACTATTTTAATGTAAGTCTCCTTTGGGATCCTTCTCAGACGGATGTTAGAAATGAAGTTCCCACGCAAGTAAAGAATTTTTTTTTCCAGTTCATCAATTATCCTTCAAACTAATTCCGAAAGTGTTCATTGTTGAGCTGAGATGTCCACTACGGTTACACCTGCCTCTCCAATTACTGAGTGAGTCTGGGATCCAGTGGTAAAATGCAAACTCTATGCACTTGAACTGTTCAAAATGCACAACGTTCTGTAAATCACCCTCAGTCCTAGTAGTCAGCGGCGGGACGCCTGTGGGCTTGTCAGGAACAGCTCACGTTGACACTAGCTAGGCCTGCAGGACGGCGGGAGAAGCAGAGAAGTGATATCCAGAGAAGCAATTTGGGATTTGGGCTGGCGTCGCTTCCTTGGGCACCGAACTCCTCCCAGGCCGACCAGCACTTCCCGAGACCTGCCGGCCGGGTGCCGGGCGCCTACCGGTGTCTATCCTGGAGGAAGGAGGACTTATCTGTGCAGACACTGAGCACTCAGCATTGCTCTTCTGACTCGCTCTAGCCTTGCGGTAAGGTGAAGAGGGCCATAAAAATAACACGGAGAGAGAGAGAGAGTGATTTTATCAAAGACAGAGGCCGTTGGGACATCGTGGAAAGACATAAACTGCACAGCACCCCACGCTGGCCTTCCCGTTCACGGAGTGAGCCTGTCGTCCCAACAGCTGCCCCGAGGTCCAGGGGGCAGGCGGCCCAGCTGCCCTGTCCTGAAAAAATACGAACCGCAGCTTCCTGGTAACTCTCCACTTCCCACGGGAACGATCGTGCCACCCCCACCCCCACCCCCACCCCCACCCCCACCCCGAGTCAGCACACACAGCCAATGCCTAGGAGGACGTCTGAGTTCCACCGCGGTGACGGTGACTCCGCCCAGCCACGTGTGACTTCCGGAGCGCGTCCCGCCCTCGCCCGTCTCCGGGCCCTGCTTCCTGTCCTCCCTTCCGACTTCCGCTCCCCTCCCCTCCGACTTCCGCTCTCTTCCCTCCCTTCTCTGTCTCGGCCAGCTCCGATCCACCCTCCGAACCTGCTGAGAGGCAGCTCCGCTGGGAC